CTTTTATCAAACAGTATAAATTCATTATTGAAAAAGACAACATTATAGATGAAAAGAGCAAAAAATTGCTGTTAAAATTACTGTATCCAGGAACAAATGTTGAAAATATTAAGTTTAAAAATAGTTGTAAATTTGATCTTCGCGATCTTAACATTAAAATAACAAACAAATAAACACATTTTTTTTTATTACACTTAATATAATTTTTATTAAATGTTGGTTGAAGAAGAGTTAACTTTGTGAAATGTGATGAAAATGAGATTTAATGTTAGATATTTTGCAAACTTTAGTTTGCAAAATATATCACATCACCGAGGCGTTCGTCACATCGTAGCAAAGTTACTGAACAGCTTTTGCCAAGCTTTTCTTAAAAAGCATGTCCAGCAAAGCGACCCAGCAATTTCAAGGATAATATTAAATTATCAAGGGAGTGGTCAATTTTGTTGTCGTTTGTTACAACAATTTGGGACGAGACTGGGATTGAGCCGAATCGACGATATCATCATCAATAATATCATAGACTTGGGCATCTTATATCACCATACGAACAAAGGCAAAATCACTTTAAATTCTTATAATTTACTTGAAAATTTGTTTTTTTTTTTTTTAAACTCTTTGACAGTCTTGTCGGTACCTTTATTACTAGATAATTACTTTTACATATGTTACTACACATGTTATTTATCTATACTACAATAAATAGGTCCGGCATCATCTGGTTGCTTCTCGAGTACCTAGATGCGACCTGTCGCACTACTCTATATATAGAGTAGAAGACATTGTCAGCCCCGTTAAGAGCCAAACCAGAACGGCTTCGAACCATTATTTATCATCTTCTCGATTGCATCATCCCACCTCTTTTTAACCTCTCTTGCTTTCTGCTGAATTCTCTTTAATCTATCTTCTCTTTCATCTTTAGATGGGCGCTTCTTACTTCTACCGGGCAGTTTGTGCTTTCTTTTCCTTTGCGTATATTTCTTGGTCTTGTCTTTTGTCTCTTCTGCTTCGCTGTGATACCTTCTTGTCTTTCCTATCGATTTACCTTGTAGCATCTCTCCTTCCATATAAAATCAAAACACCTATTTCTGAAGATATAGAAAATGTTTTTTAGGCACTTGTCTACTATCTTCTTGGATTTTAACGCATCTTCTAAATTCTTGTATGTTTCATTTCTACATAAACCTTTTACTAGACTTTCTCTAGCTTGTATCTTTTCTTCTTTGCTAGTTCCGATTAAGATCTTTCTCAAGCTGTTTAGACTTAGGTTGCTTTTTGTCTCTTCAGGCAATTTGTTCCATACTATCTCTGTCGCTACTGCTTCTATGTTCTGCCAGTTGGGTTCTTGTGTCTCGCATACCCATATGTGATCTAGTGTTTCTTTATTTCCACTATTACACACTTTGAAATCAACTGCATTATAAATCTCTGGTTTTCTTTGCTGTAGCTTTCGCAGCATTAGCAGCTCATCCATAATTACTTTGAACCAAAAACTTAGCTTTTTACTTTTCTTAAAAGATGTGCATTTGTAACTGGTAAAGTCACTTAAATGGGACCAAAAAAGATTTCACTCCAATTTTTTTCCCTCCTCTTTTGTTCCTGCTAACTTGCTTAAGTGAGATAAACTTAAACTTGCTGCTGTCCTTGCTTGAAAAAGATTCTTAAAAAATTTTCTTGGGCTTGATTCGATTTGGATGTCTTTCCATTGCCACTGGAATCTTATCCAGTTGTTATAGGCTGATGCTACATTTGCGACCAGACCAATCTCTGCCCCTTTCTTTGCCAGAATATCTGCCCTATCATTCCATTGCTCCCTGCTATGACTTTTTACCTTCTCTAGTACTAACTTTATATGCTTAACTTTAACTATCTCTAAGATATCTATTCTAATATTAATGTTTTTTGACCTTGCCTATTTCTTCTTCTCTTGGAGTCCAGGCTGCTTCATTAGCCCTGCTATTGCTGTTGCACTATCTGTTCGAATTTTAACTTCGCATCTCTGTGGAACAGTTAGGAGTGCAAGAAGGATTGCTGCTAACTCGAGTTTCGTTGATGAGGGCCATTTCTCTATTCTGCAGTATCCTTCAAATATTACTTTAGGCATATTTTCTTAGATGCATAGCCAGCTTGCCCCCATTGCTACTGCTGTCCTGTTTGTCTTTAATGAGCCGTCTATATAGAAGATAATTGCCTTTTCTGGTTATTCCTTATTTATATTAAGTTGTTCTTGGAGTAATTCCTGTAGCTCTGGGCTAATTACGTATCTCTTAATCAGCTCCATTTCTAATGACTCTTCTAGTGCAATCGTAGCCACTGTTCTTTCATCATTAATTCTTTTCCTCTTATTGGCCACTACTATGTTTTGGAACAAGACTATCATTAGTGGATACTTTCTTTCTCCTTCTTTTATACTTGGCTTGGGTAGGCTTGTTAATATTCTGTCTTTGTTGTTCCAGCAGCCATCGCTATCTTCTAGCATCTTCTCTAAAATCGAGCCAAAATTGGATCCACTTTCCTTATCATTTTCCCTGTCTCTGATCTCAAACTTTTCTAATCTGACCTTTGTTTTCTCTTTTTCTTGCACTCTGCATATCTTTCTTCTCTTGTTCTCTATTTCACATAGTACCCATTCCTTGACTCTTTTGTCTTTAGAAATTGCTTTTTCTGAGTAGATAATTGTTCTTTTGTTTGGGCTGCTTTCAACATATTCAGCTTTAACTTGTCTTGTAAGCTGATCTCGTAGTAATAATCTCTTTATTATTTCAAACCACTTTGCCTTCTTACTATGGCTAGACTTCCCTCTTATAAACTTAATTTGCTGCCATGTTAGTAGTCGATATCCAGTATAGTCAATAATTTGTGACGTATAAAAGATCATTAATTTTTTTAACTCTTTTGTAAGTTCGTTTATTTCTCCTTTTAATAGCAGCTTGCTCAAAGGAGTACCTGTCCCCTTTATGTTCCACAAAGAATTTAGATTACTCATTGCTAAATCTATTCTTTTTGCTCTTAGTAATATCATGCATGCCAAATTATTTTTCCACAACTTGCTTAGCTGTTTTTCCTCTTCTGTTTGCCACACTGTACTAGTTAGACCTGCATCTAACAACCCTTTTCTAACCCGGATTTGTGTTACTTCCCCTTCAATTCGTGTATAGTTTAGTCTGTTTTGCAGGGCAATTAATTGTTTCGTTACAATTTTCTGTTCTAGTGATCTGCAACCTCCCAAATCTTTATGCAAAATCATATTGTTATCGACTGTTCGGGCTAATTCTAGTTTACTTTTGACTAGTCTTATGAAAGGTTGATGGATCTTTTCAATTGACTGGGTGCTATGTTTACTAACTTGCAAAATGTAACTAAGTTTGGGTAGTAAAACCATGTTGTTTATGTATGCTAGTTGGCTTATTGTTAGTTTTTTCCACTGTAATGTTAAGGTCATTTGTCTAACGATTTCTTTGGCTTTGTCTCTTACTAGAGATTCTTTTAACTTCTCACTTAACCAAATACTAAGCATTCTCACCATGATGCTATCTTTGGTAGCTCTGATTTCGTCTTGATTAAACCGAACCACCTTCGCCTCATGGTTTTTGGCCTTATAGTTCATTACTACCAAATTACATTTCTTGCTATTTATCTGTATGTTATTAATCATATAAAATTCATTTGCTACTTTCAGCATTCTTTCTATTTCTGCTTTGCTGTTCACCAGCCAAGTCATGTCGTCTGCATAAGCTATAGCTGCCTGCCTCACACAGACCTTAGTCTTTGTCCCTGTTGTTATATTTTCTGGGATGCATGTCTCAACTTCATAACCAAAAGCCTTGTCATCCTGTATTCTACATAGAAGTGGATCGTAAAAAATTCGCCAAATGATTGGGGATATGACTTCCCCCTGATCGATACCATCACCTGCCTTGAATGGTAATGTGTAGCCATCTTGTACTATTACTTTCATCTGTATTTTGTTAAAAAGGTTATGTATTAATTGGATACTTGTGGCAGGGAGCTTGATTCTCTTGAGGGCTAACATTAACATCTCTACTAATATAGAGTCATATGCTTTTTGCATGTCTTGAAATACCACCCACAACTCTTTTCTTTTTTCCTTTGCATCCTTCATAACTGCATTAATGATTTATACTGGTTTTTCTGTTGAGCAGCCTGGAAGCCCTGCATAATTTGGCTCTTTAAGAATACTGTGCTCTGCCAGGATCCCGGTTAGACGCTTGTTAAAAATTTTCATTACACACTTTCTAAACGTTTCTAGAAGTGCAATTGGTCTTATATTGTCTAACTGAAAGTTCCAATCCAGGCCTTTTAGGATTGAATAGATTTGTGCGAGCTTCCACTTAATTGGAATTACTCCTTTACATATACACTTCTCTGCAAATTTTTTAAACACACTTTGCGATGTTGCTCCAGCTTTTTTAATTAGTATATAACTTATTTCTGAAATCCCCGGGGCCGTTTTAGTTTTCAATTCTGTAAGCATCTCTTGCCATTCTTCATCTTGGATCGAGTCATTTAAGTGCTTAAACCATTCTTCTTTAATTCTGCTTATTGGCTTGTAGACTTCCTTCCACTCATTTGATATCTTGTTAGGTTGTACCTGGCATTTTTTAAACTGATTTTGGAAGTGTTCTTTTGTTGCTTCCTTAACACTATCTGAATCATTAACGAGTGTAAAGCTGCTGTTTTTTTCTCTTAAAACTCGATCTATTTTTATTTTCTTAAAAGGCCTTTCTAGCAAGCTCGCCAACATTTTTCCTTGCTCTCTTGTTATTCTTTCGCAATGTTTGTTAATATGCTCTTCAATTGTTTTTCTCTTGGCCTTTTCTCTATCTTGTATCCATCTCGCCCTTAGTAGTTTCCACCAACCTACTAGATCTTCATGCCAGGTTTCATCTATATATGATGTTGTTGACGGGATTTTTGTTCCATGTTTAAGGTTAAATTCTTCTGTTAACATGTTAATCTCGTCTCTGTCATCTATCCCGATTCTAAGACCAATTTTCTTCTTTAGACTTCTCACTAGTTTGCTAAGCCTAATCATATCTTCGTGCAAACAAGATTTTTTAAACTTATTTTTTCTTTTTGTATTGATTACTTTAGAAACCTTTTTTCTAGAAATGTTCTTATTAGCTGCATGTATTATTCCTGTAGCTATCTTTTCCCAGACACAATTCATCCCAGATTCTGTATCAGTTGTATCTTCTATACTACTGTTTAATTGTTTGCTACTTAGATTTTTCTCGAAATACTGCTATAAATCACTAGCGTAATCTTCTCAGTTGTCTTTTGTTACTTTATCATATAGAAATATTGTTTGCAGGTGTTCGTTTCTTTTAATTTGTGCTTTGCTGTTGTTTTGTATTGCTGATTTTGGCCTCAACTTTGTTAGTACTGCACTGTGATCACTACACGTATATGTGTTTAGATCTATAATTTCTGCTTGCACTAGTGTTTCTATCAGATCAGTTGATAACCAGATATAGTCAATTCTTGTCTGGACCTTGGGATTGCCCCAAGTATATGCTTTTGTACTTGGGTTAAAAGCCCGGTATGTATCGCAGAAACTTTGTGCTAGAAACTATCAGAATAAAGGCAGCATTCGTTTATTCCTTTGCTCTTCTTGATTTGATTTGTCTACTCTGGGGTCTACTACATGATTGAAATCCCCCATTATTATGAACTATGTTGTTGGTCCACGTCTTATGAAGCACTGAATTATGTGCTATTGAATTTTGCGAGCTTGTTCTTTGTCATTGGGTGGTATATATAGCATTATCACTACAAGCTCCAATTGCTTAAAGTATAGCCTTGCTTCAATTAGATACTCATTCATTTTCTTGACAGTACCAACATGTCTCTCCCAATTGCTTCTTATTATTAAGCCTACTCCGGAACCTTTCTTTTTGTCTTCTGCTACACTAGCCCAAAACCTAATAAAATCTCTATTATCTTTCAACATGTAATTGCCTTCTTTGCTCTTCATGTTTGTTTCTACCATGCCTATGATTCCAATACTCTCCTCTATAGCCCAATCTAATAGACCTTCTAACTTGTAACTATTAATGTTTCTCAAACCGTTTATATTATAGCAAGCGACTTTCAAGTCTACTGTTTCTTTATCTTGAATTAACTGAGTGATTTTTCTTCTTGATTCCAGAGCCTCTGCTCTGGTGTTTTCTAGTGTAGAGCCTTCGGCCAGTTTTAGGAGTGACAGGGTCTAACACCCTGTATGTCTTGTCTCTCTAACTTGTCAAGTCTACTCAAAATCTCGATTAAAATATCTTTAACCTCACTACTTCTAGAAGTTACTTTTTTTCTGTCTCTCCCTGTATTTTTGGCATTCCTCTCTTCATGTTCCTTCTCTTTCTCTTGTTTATATTCACTTGCTATATGTTCAGAATTGGAGTCTTCGCTACTAGACCTTTTCGCATTTCTTCTTGTTGGATGGTAATCTATCGATGGTCTGTGTGTTCTTTCTGCTCTTGACTCCTTATATAATTGCACCGCTTGCTCAGCCCACACCAGCGTTGTATTGTTGTACTTAACTTTGCATCTCAAAGCTTCTTCTTTGTCTTTTAAAGATTTAAAATACATGATAGCTAACATTCTTGGGTTACCATTGCTGTTAATTGGTATATGTACTGCCACTACTTTTTGCTTTTTGATTTGTCTTAGCAGAAGTGCTTCTTGTGCGTATTGTGGCAGATTTCTCAATACTGCTTTATGCTGTACCCTTTCTTTTACTACTTCTATATCACAGTTGCCAAAACTAACCCTTGTTACCTTCCCTTTATTTAGCGGAAGTACCCACATATTTTTAAGTATAGCCATTTTCACTTTACTATAAAATTTCACTTATACAATTGCTATTTTACTTTTGCTTTTAATATACCAACTCTGGACTTTGCAATTTCTAAAACTCTTCATCAGAGTGGCAACTTCTTTATTCATTGTCATTTTTGGCATATCCCATAATGTGATAGTTTGATATACAATTTTGCTGCCCTCTGCATCTTCTCTATATGGGTTTTCTACATCTTCTGCTAATAGGTAGAAATTTTTGCCAAAGCTTTCTTGCTCCTCTTCTTCTCTGGTCTTCTCTTTTGACTTTCCCCCTAAGATTGGCCCCATGGCCTTCATTGAGGTATTTACATTTGGTAGTTTTATTGCATTCTTATCTGTAGGCTCCTTTTTTACTTCTACTGATACTTCTTCTTGATTCGTCATCATGGTCTTTTTTATGTACTTTTTACTTGTCTTCCCTGCTGTCTTCCCTTCTATGGGCTCATTCCTTGCCTCAATAGATGCTTCTAACATATTGGTTACTCTTGTCATTATTTCCTCTATACCATAATCTGTTGTAC